GAGACGCACGGCTGAAGCCCTATGTTCCTCTAGGAATTAAAGGAAACAATAATAATAATTTAATAAAACAAGTATGTGGTGACCAAGGTTATTTATTATTCAAGGTTTAAAATCGTTCTCACAAATGCACATAAAACGTGTAAAAAAAATGAATAGAAGTTATGAACAAAATAAAGTGTTTGAAAGTTGTTTAAATTAAAACTTTCCTTAAAAGGTACATCGAAGTTATTAATTAAGCCAAATAACAACATAATAATAATTAAAAAATAGTTATAGGTGAAAGATACAAAAGCTAAATTATTAAGTGGGGGAAATTTTAATAACAAAACAAAAATCGAGACTAAGTATTCTATTTTCAAAATTTCGGGTCAGATAATCAATATCCGTTAGTATTCTATTTGCTAAACTGAATTAAGAAGTACCACTTTGGTTTGTGGTAACTAGAGATCCAGGACTTGCGTTTCGCCTTGTTTTAAACTCATCAGCTATATCTTTCTGCAAACTCAGTGAGTGATCCTCCTACTAAGACTCGAATTCAACACCTATCGTTTCAAAAGTTAAAATGTTTTATGCTAGACCGGAGTTGCCGGTGGCTACGATTTGTCCACCAGAATCGCACAGAAAGAAAAAGGATACAACCTATGCCTTCATAGCCGTAATAACAAAATTCGGATTTTCAACACCAATGTTAAGTGAGTCAGTTCTTCTATATTGGACAGAAACCTGGTGTGTCACGAAAAGCATCTCCAACAGACCACTGCAGGGGCTTTTATCAACAGCTAACTTGACTGCCTTCATACCGAAGAACAGCTGACCAGGGAGAAGAATCAGCAACAAAAACGACTATGAGAACAAACCATCCAAGAACCTGTTGTTAAACAAATATGCAGAAGAAAGTTGAGATGGGTAGGGCACATGCTGAGGAGACCGTCGAATGACATCGAGCGCTAGGCAACCCGTCGAATGGAAAATGACGAGTTGGGTGACATGGAGGAGATGAGAGACTACAAGCAATCCCGGATCCAGTTAAAGAGGACCACAGGAAACAGGACAAAGAGGAGATGTGCTGTGAAGCCCTATGTTCCACTTGGAACTCAAGGGAACAATAATAATGAATAGCCTACTTTCCATGATCAGAAATGTAAACTACTTGAAAACCTGAGATTTTATTTCCTACGAACACAAAATTTCTCTCCAAAAACGTGAATGCAGTAATAGATGTATTCTCGATCTCAGTAGATGGGAGAATTCGTTAACTGTAATCGTGCGGCGGAAGTCAATCATAGCCTCCGCATTAAAAATTAGACTTATGTATGCATCATCGAAATTTAATAGTTTATTTCTCAAACAGGAGTTTATAGTTTGAAAAATAGACACCGTCAAGTATTTTGTCCCTTTGGTATAAGAAGTTCAGCAGAATTACCATTACTGCATTCCCTAGAATTCAAATCTTTCTTAATACCACAAATATTATTACAATTAGAACAAGTAAAATCGGAGAAACTCCATTTACTTCATAAACTATTTCAACACTAAAGAGTGCAGTGCTCCGAATCTTTACCAACCTCACTCAGCAGCTACATAAGAATACCACACATCAAGTGATCCTAAACGGAAAACTCAGAGAAGCACGTGAAGTGAAGACAAGGCTGCGTATTATCACCGATGACATTCTGGATCGATAAAACTCTAGCATAAAGGACAAAGCCCAGACACAAATCAACACTGGCGAAGAGCTCAGCGTCGAAAAGCACTGGAAAAACTTGAAAACAGTGTGGAGTCAAAACTGCATGGAAGTTCTAGGCAGAAAGAAGAGACAGGACAAACAGTGGCTCACTACGGACACTTGGAGACTGATAGCACAGAGAAGGATGGTGAATCAAAAGATTATCCAGTGCACCAACGAGCAGCAAAAACAGGATTTGAATGCAAGCTACAATACACTGAACAAAAGAGTAAAGAAGACAAGAGAAAGTATTATGATACCATGGCAAGTGAAGCAGAACAAGCGGCAGGCAAAGAAGACGTCTCAACACTCTACCAAACAAATAAGTACCTATCGGGCAAAAGTTTGACACAAATTAAGCCGGTGAAGGATGACAATGGAAAGTCACTCGCCAAAGAAGTGGAGCAAAGGAAACACTGGGCTGAACACTTCAAAAGACTCCTAAATCGACTACCACCTACAACGCGCCCAACGATACCAACAACGGAGACAGAGCTACCAGTGAACACCAACCCCCCGACGAAATCAGAAGTCCTGAAGGCAATCAAGATGCTGAAAGCTGGAAAAGCAGCAGGACCAGATGGATTCCCAGCAGAAGCATTGAAAATGGATCCGGAGAAAACAGTGGACTTGATGACGCCACTAATGAAGAAGGTGTGGAAAGAAGGCAAAGTATCCGAGGATTGGAAGAAGGGATACTTATTCAAACTACCAAAGAAAGGAGACTTAAGTCAATGCAAGAACTGGCGCGGAATTATGCACCTGTCCATCCCAAGCAAAATACTAAGCCGCGTCATTCTGGAAGGAATCAAACACGCTGCCCTGAATAAAAAAGACTTCGACCGGAACAAGCTGGATTCAGGAGAAACAAGTCATCCATTGATCAAATCGCCACATTACGGGTCATCATTGAACAAAGCTTGGAATGGCAGTCACCTCTCTATCTCAACTTCAACAACACTCAGCATCAAAAATAAGATCCAGATTTGCAATTCCATTGTGAAGTCAGTCAGTGCTACTGTATACGGATCAGAGACTTGCACTGCGCGTCATAAAGAGCATCTCAAACAAACTACAGATCTTCATCAACAGCTGTCTTCGCTCAATACTCAAGATCAGATGGCCGGTCAGAAAAGATCAGCAACAGAGATCTCTGGCAATGAGCGAACCAACCAGGAACCGATTGTGAAACAAATAAGCAGGAAGAAATGGAGATGGATTGGCTGACCATACTCTGAGGAAACAAAACATCAAGTGACATCACTAGACAAGTCATTGCTCGAGTGGAATCCGAAAGGGAAGCGGCGAGTTGGCCGTCAGTGCAAAGGTGACTTGGAGGAGGTCATGTGAAGAGGAGATGAAAACGTGTGGGCAGACATGGAGCCAGGTGAAGACTCTAGCAGAGAACCGAACGCAATGGAGACGCACGGCTGAAGCCCTATGTTCCTCTAGGAATTAAAGGAAACAATGATAATAATAATAAAAACTCTAGATCTGGTCTTTGCTGATGATTTCTATTTAACATCGAAGATCTACATGCGAAAACCAAAGAGTTTGTACACCACGATAAATTAACCTTTTTAGTACTATACTTTCTTACACGTAATAAAACTATACTGAAAATCGTCCTAAGTATACGTAGAATTTTTTCTGCAGGTATGGTAACCCGGTATATAGCGTACATATAGAGGGCACTACACTCCTTAGTGTTGAAATAATTTCCAAATTACTTCGTAGTCACCGCTGTCAAAGGCCTTTTCAAAGTCGATGAAGTTCAGATAGGGATTTAACGACCACTGTATGCTCAGTCCAACGACGATGCGTTGACTTATAACTGGATCCGCACATGATTTGCTTTTCCCGAATCCAACTAGTTCCAGGCAGAGTTCTGCTTTCAGAGCATCTTCAGTTTTCTGCAGGATGATACAGTTGAATATTTTGCTTGAAGTCCACAGAACCATGTTTCCACGCCAGTTTCTGCAAAGGCTTAAGTCTTCTTTCTTTGGTAGTTTAACAGGGAAGTCCTTCATCCAATCGACGGGCACTTTTCCTTCTTTCCACATCTCCCGAAGTAGTGGTGTGAGCATCCTTGATGGGGTCTCTAGGTCAACAAGGAATGTAACTCTGTCATGAAAACTTTATTTTACCTCAAAGTTGTTGAGTGTCAGTTCTATATTGAACTGATAATAAGTAGTAAGTGATCAGTTTGTGCTACTGAGTTTCATCATGGTTGACAGAGCGCGCACTAAACGAATATTAAAGGTTTCAATTTAGAAATCAATTATTTAGGTATATAGTTTCCAAGTTAACGTGGATATTCATTGAAAAGAGATAAACTAGTTGTTGGAACTAACAAATTGAATCTGTACTTCGATCTCTTATTTGGTACTGCTCTCGTTTTTCGCAAAATGAACACCTTTTAAGTGCATTAAAAATGTGAAGTTTGGCATGCAAAAAAAGGTTCTATTTAAGTAAATATATATCTTAGGGACAACCGATACGCCTAAGTAACAAATATAAGGAGTTGCTTTAGAAGTTGACCAACCAATGGATCTTCAGAATCCTCTTTGACATCCTTTTATCAATGAAACGAGTGAAGCAATCGCCTTTATTAAATGATTGAAAAGTTACATCAAAACAATCTGAGCTGTATATATCACTTCAGAAAAAGAGTTATAAGGTTTCTTTTCCTACTACCGACAGGTATCTAATTTTAAAAAAAACTGTAAACATTATCTTTCAAGGAATCCGCTAACACCTCTGATGAAAATAATGTCAAGCAGAAAAATGATTGATTCTGACTGACTTCTGTAAAAAGACGAATCAGTAGCTAACAACTGGTTGTTTTCTAATTTCAAAGTAATACATCGTGCTAACAACAGACCCAAAGATGAATCCAACTGTCTGTCATCTGCATGTATGTAATCGACATTACTTTTTTATTCCTTCACGTTCCCAGTGGGACATACGGCGGCTTCAAGCTATATGCTTGAAGTTTCTGTAGCAGTGTTTATTTTTTATACAGGATGGGGTTGCTAGCCTCATGCGCAACCTTCTCTCTTTGCCAGTTCTATTTACTGGCTTAGCGAGGCAAAGGAGTTCGTCGGCCGGAGATCGAAACCCAGACCATGTGCATAGTCGGCGACCGAGACAGCACTTTGACAAACTTATTTATATTTGCATTAAGTGAATCGATGTTATCACATGTAGAACAAACAATTTCGACTGAAGAACCACCAGTGAACAATAAATACTAAGAATCTAACACAACACAGAAACATTATTACTTATTTATTTACATGAAAGCTGACGGATATTTTAATAATAATATTAATATTATTAATAATAATAATAATGCCAATTAAGCATTACATTAATAAGGAAGGTGACAAAGAGGAGATTAACAAAGGCAAACAAGAAAGAAAATGAAAGGTATCAAGAAAAACCCTTTTTTGCCAAAAATATCAGACACAGGGAAAATGCCTACCTGACATAAACGCTAACGTGTGAATCATCACCTTCAGCTGTAGCATAAAATCATATTACACATAAGGTAAAACGATTAGGGAATTAATAGAGGCAATTCAACTGATCTTTCCCACAGTTATGCGTAAAATAGATTATCTAGAATTACATTATGTCCAAAGAGAGAGAGAGAGAGATAGTAAGTGAAGAATAAGAATTCCAGTAAAGAAGAAGAAGAGAAAATGGACACCAAAGACGAGAAACAGTAAAAGGGAAGGATTTTACAAGAGTATCTATTCAACAAAACGGGGAGTGAAGATTTAATCCAACTTAAACACACACACACACACACACACACACACACACACACACACACGGGAATATCTATCATGTACACATAATACAAGTGTACAATCGACAGTAGACTTTTATCAAAAGCAGCACACGACTAACATCAACATCATCATCACATACAGTGACGAATTGTGAAATAACCAAAGTGAATTTGAATATACAACACATTAATTAATTAATAGTAATTAATCAACACACCTATAAAATCTGATTACACAAAAAAAAGAATATATGCAAAGGTTGTCTGGCACCGACATAATATACGTTTTATAATATTGGATTAAGGCAGCATGGATTGAGGCCTGTGTAAATTACGACTCAGAACTGAACGTACATCGCTAACAAATCTAAGAGCATCTAACACTGGTAATAAGCAGAGAAGAGCTGTATCACGTGAATCAGAAAACCATGATCGAATTGGAATAGCATTATCTGTAAATAAATGAAAATTCACAATGGTTATCTTTTTTAAATAATAACTTCTTGAGTTGTACTAAAAACTATATGAATCACAGTCAAATGATAGAAAAGCGAAAGGTAAAGATCAACTATACATTCCTCGTAAATCTGTTCAATAATACCCAACAATCACTTGCGACTCCATGCAGTTAGCTAGCAATGAACCACAATTATTGTATGACGACTGGTTGTTATATTACCCAGGGCTGCCCCAAACCTCAGTGCATGCAGCGGAGTTCGAGCTCGTAACCCGCTGGTTGGAGATTAGGCGACTAGATGAATGACCCACAAGTTGTATGAATAATTCACTTGCGGAGAGAGTTTAGTTTTCAGCTGCATTCACAAAAACTTTTATTACGACACATATGTTTGGTACCTTCAGCTGGTTTTTTTACTAGAAAATTCAGATTCAGAAGGCAACAAATCAACCAGCAAAACTATAAAGAAGCTCCTTAACTAACATACTATACAAAATCCTTGAATTTATCGTCAGCTGACAGGTAGGTGTATACAACTCATGAGTTAAAATCACCAGTAAATCAGATTTTCAATTCCACATCAGAGTGCATTACATAATGCTCTAGAAAGAAAGAAGGTATATTTACCGATACCCAACCTTTGCTCTATTTTATTTTAAGAAGACATTCCACTCCCTAGATTGATAGATACTGTGATAATATCTGACTGTGAAGAACACTCAATAGAGTGTATTACATAATTTTCATCTTGTTTTTTTTGTTGTTGTAATTTGACCTTCGACCGGAAATAATCCCGCAACCTTCTCATCCCCTCGCTATATATTTACGAATGTACAGTCTAGCTGATAATTTTGTGGAAAAAAAGGGGATTTTCTCCACTGCAATCGTCTTTATGCTTTTTTTCCTATGGTCTAGTGTATATTATGTATTCCACGGAAATAATTGGCATGAATTAAAATAGCATTTTACACCCTCTTTTTAGTTCTTTACCGGACTTTCTACAGATTCATTTTCGTTCTCAATGGTGCAGATGCATCCACTCCATGTGACTTAAAATTTCCAATAAAATTATATTGTTATTCCATATTACTATTCTTTTTCCCTCATATCTCTGTTTTCAATCTCTTCTGTTGTTTTGCGTACTACGTGAAGTGTGGCAAATCGAACTGCTGCACAGTCAGTCAATTAGGATAAGATATACCTTCAGCCCAGACTTCATATTCTAACACATGAGCAAATATTCCATGTTCTCTAGAATGGTGGCTTCTTGGTCTTTTGTGCACTGAATTGTAAGATATTTTTGGAGCACACACGTCCGCTTTATTCGAATGTTTTAAATGCATACTCTCCTAAATAGTCTTTATTCCCTTTTGAGTGATTTCAGTTATCTGAAGTTTGTAATCAAGGTTTTCTCCAGGTGCTATCAAAAACGGTCGGACATTTTTCATGTGTAAAAGTGAATTGCGCTTGAAAAAGATTTAAATGACACAACGACATTTAAGGGATTCACAATATTCACTAAAATGGTTGAGATGTGCAGAAACATAGATAAGAGATCCTGACACCACAGATCCTCCATAATCAACATCTGACATCATAACAAAATGATTACATTTACCATAACGTATCCATGTGTGCTGAATCAGTTAGAGAAAGTTTCTCTCTGTAGTTTAACTGCTTTCATCTTATATCGGGGATGAAATAATTCAAATAAGCGAATTCATTTGTATTTATGGTCGGAATTTTGAAAACAGAAAGTGCATTTGAGTCATTTCGATTGATTTTCGATAAAATCATAGAAATTTCCAAGCTACTGATTATCAATATCTTGGGGGAATTAAACTAATGAAACAATGAATGACATAATAACCAAGAAGCGATCAGCCAAATGATTGCATATCTACCAAAATTTCTCCAATAAGCGACTACACACACTGGTAAGGTGATGATATTGCCTACATTTAGGATTTCTCTCAGTAATATTACTTGTCTGGAAAACTTTATAACTATTCACAACACCATTCAATATCATGTGGTTCACTGACTTTAGCAATGAACTTCCAGTCTGTCTGCCTCTCTAGTTTGAATCTTTATCCACATACTTCAGCCTGGGGGCAACTGGTTAGCATAATCAGCCCTCGCATAATGTTGGAGTCATCGAGCTCCAAACAGTGCGAATGAATGAGATATAATAAGCAGTTTAAAAAAAATAAATAAAACATCAGCTGAGATCTGTGAAGGGGATAGTAAATATAGTGCAAAAAACCTGCATTTCATGAAATAGACTTACCCGGATAAGAACGATAAGCGCCTGGTGAATTATCCAGTATAAATATGGAAGCCAAATCGGAAGTAATTAGTGAAAGATTTTTTGAATAGCTACCATTGTCGTATGTACAGTGCTAAAAAGAAGGTTTAAAAAAATAATAATAATAAATACTTGTGAAAGAGAAAACAACTAAAAGGTGTTCAACGTAAAAGATTATACACAAGATGGAAATCAGAAATTGTCTTTGTTTCCGAATACAACGTTAAAAAGTGAAACAGAATGCAACTGAATAGTGAATCAGCTTTGCTGAATTCTGCGCTTTATTTAACCAAAGTTATTCGCTACGTTTTTACATGATAACTTACACCATTGTTGATAGTTGGTATTAATTTACAACTTTGAAGGATGTATGTTATTTCACCGACGATGAAGATGACAGTGAAAATATGAATTAAGTGAGATTGCATAAACCTGTTTTATAAAACACAAAATAATCGAGCAAAGAATATCCTTTTCGATAATTTTCTCTTCTGTCTCTACGATTATATATATATATATATATATATATATATATATATATATATATATATATATAGAATATTCTAGAATAGTAGTCAATATGAATATTAGTGTTTTTTCTTAAATAATATCGATTTGTAAAGTAAGATCAATGCAATTACAGTTCATTAAAGATGCTTAAATTATAATAATAATAATAATAATAATAATAAAGATATAGTTGCAAATAGAATATCAACTAAAATTGAGAATCATTCAAATCTAGATGGCCAAGGTAAGGATAATGTCTGAACTAACTTCTTTTGGATGCACAAATTAGGCTTGTTAATATGGATCCCAACAGCCTCAACAAAATGTAGTAGACGAACTCTTAAGGTGAAATTAAGATTTGTTGGTATTCCGTACAATTAGGCATGTTTCTCGTCGGATTTCCGAACATCAACCTGCGTGGTTAAGTAAAGGATAAACAAATTCTATTCGTAGCGCTATTCTATCTCATCTTGTGGATACAGAACACAAGATTGATGTTAACCAGGCTTTCAGAGTCATTCACCACATACCAACAAATCTTAACTCCGCCGTAAGAGTTCGATTACTAAATATTGCTGAGGCTGTTGGGATCCATATTAACAAGCCTAATTTGTGCATCCTAAAGAGGTTAGTTCAGACATTATCATTAACCCGCTGGCCATCTAGGTTTGAATGATCCTGAATTTTTGTGGAAATCTCCCTAATTTTAGTTGATATTCTATTCACTACTATATTTTTATTACTATTATTATTATTATTATAATTTAAGCATCTTTAATGAACTGTAATTGCATCGATCTTACTTAACAAATCGATATTATTTAAGAAAAAACACTAATATTGTTATTGACTACTAATCTAGAATATTCTATGTATATAAACATATATAAATAATTGTAAAGACAGAAGAGGAAATTATCGAAAAGGATATTCTTTGCTCAATTATTCTGTGTTTTATAGATGTCTGAATGAATATTTTCTCAACACTAAACGTGTTTTATCGTAGTTCAACGTATGCGGGGTGGTGAAACACTTGAGACTAGATGGATTTATTACTAGTGGCACCACATGCATCCAAACTTATGATGACATTTGAGATGCAGTGGCAAGTCGACACGAAGATGACATTATAGGTAATCATTTACAACAGAAATTCATAACTGACTCTAACTCTCTACATCAAGAACAAACAAGATGTCAGGACCAAGATATTCTGATAGAATTTTTTCTAAAAATATCAATAAGGAAATGTTTATCAGTGACATATACTCCACATATATTCCAAAATAAGGATTCTTGTGTTTTGCGATTTTTCAAAAGTTCACTTCTTTCACAGAATGAAAAGCTGTCTAACAACTTATATCAATCGTTAGCACATGAATAGTAAATAAAACAGGCTAATATTCGCCTCTTATGCAAAACAGGTCTCATTTTGTTTGAGACATACTTCGTGTGTTTTGCATAGTAAACAATGAAGTTAGACTTGACTTGATTCATCTGTGGTGAGAGCTGTCTGCTAGCCAAAATTGGTAGACAGCAGCAATTTTCGTCAATGTTTACGTCCCAAATCTTGGTCATGAGACAAAAAACAAGAACAAAGACTAACTCAAAAACTAATAACAGCAGACTCTGCGTGGGTGGATACGATTCGCATATTTCACCAATAAAAACCTGCCAATTGTGCTACATCTATTTAATTCTATCAGATGTCGTCTTCATTGACAGCCCTATGGGCTGTATGGACGTATTTATAATAAAAAAGGTGGCGTTAGAAATTTCAGTCACTTATGCAACCGTAGTCTGTTTTTCTAAGGTCAGCCAGTCGTGAACCCGACTACCTCAGTGGTAACGTCTCTGACTACACCACTGTGTGATTTAGGTCCAAATTTAAGAGGGGACATCACTTCTTTCAAAGTCCCAGATACGCCTTGTCAGGGAGTGCCAACTAGTATGGAACCTAGGTCGAAGGCTTCCTGCTGATCTCCTCCAACCATCTAATACCAACAGTTCAAAGGGTACCGTTACACGATGAGCCACCTGTTGGCATAGTGGCCACATTGCAAACCTGACTGACAGAATTCATTCTGCAACAAACAAAGGACTAGACATATTACACTAGTCACTAACTAGTGTCCAACCAAAACATATAGAGTCATATTTTGCGCATAAGGAAATCGACGAACAAACGCATCATTATTGTCACAGCTTGTGCAATAATTAATGAAAGATTATCGTCAACGGCGATAACAACTATTAGCAATTTTCAGGATTGCAAATATCACCCTTTTTGTTTAACTTCATCCTAGTTTTATTTGAAATATCAGTACTATTAGTTTCTCTATTTTTAGCGAATTGTCCGATCCTCTCCAAAGTGCTCAACAAATATAAATTGTGAATCGAAAAATGCACAAAACTTCAGAGGAATCTGATCACACACGGACTTGTCATGGGAATATATATGTGAAATTAATAAAGAGTTAAGAATTGAGAAAATAGATTTAGGTCAAGTTAAAAGGACATATTGAAGGTCAAAATAACAATGAAGATGAATGACTAAACCAAATAACAGAGGTAATAGTACATCTGCCCTGACTGGTATCGAAACAAAGTTTACCAAAGAAGGTAGGTGTAGTGTGATGACGAATTGTTTTTGAACGCATAAAGGTGGTTTAAACTTCCTAACTGCTAACTAGCGCTTCCACAAACTTAAGGATACGCGCCAAACACGTTTTATAGATAGGTTTAAAAGGTGTGTTAACGTCAATTTTATGTCCTGTCTGTGCAATATGTTTCGCAACAGACCAGCTAGGTCGTCTGTTCTCACCATTAATGGGTTCTGAGTATTCTATTTGCTTCTGGAGCCACTTAGGAATATGCTCTGAAGCCCCTACTTGCAGAGATCGATTAGTCCTCCCTATGTATGTGTGTCCACACGTACATTCAAATTGGTAAATACGGTGGGATGTGACATAATTTTTTCACATGTTCGAAGGGCTTAGATGGATATATTGGCTTCACATTCTCTATTACTATGATATTAGCTTCATAAAAAGTCTTTCTAACAGCAGTGTTCAATCTTTGTCTAGTTATCAAGCTGCTATGATACCCGATATAGGGTAGCTTGATGTACGCGTGTTTCTTAGGGGCGAGTTGGAGAGTGGGTCTTGGTGTTCTGACTACTTTATATCTCCCGATCAACTTGTCTGGATAATTGTTATCAACCAGAGTTTGTGTCAACTTTCTTTCTTCTTCATCAAGTGTGTCTTCAGTGCATATTCGTTGGATTCTACTGAAGAGGCACCTTACTAAGGCTCTTTTGTACCGAACAGGGCAGAAACTGTGGTAATTAAGACTAAGCAATATGTCTAGGAAAGATAAACAATTATCTTCCTCTTCTATGGACGTAAGTAATATGCTATTCTGAACTTCATTCATTCGATTTAAAATTGAGGTGGCAAAACAAGGCTTATCACTTATGGTTACAATATCATCTACATACCTTCTATAAAGTGGCACATTTTCGACTCAATCCTCCGATAAACTCTCAATGTACGACATATAGATATCTGCTAAAAGGGACACTAAAGGACTTCCCATAGCGACACCATCAACCTGACGGAAATAATCGCCTTCAAATGTAAACCTAACATTACTAGTACATAAAAGTAATAAATCCCTTAAATAAAATATAGGAAACGGGAGGAAAACATTGTTTGTGGAAATGTAATCACGCAAAATGTCAACTGTTTTGAGCAAAGGCACATTAGTGAATAACGAGTTTACATCAAAAGAGTACATATTCTTATTCATAATATTAATATCGTCAAGAAAATTAACCAATTCAAATGTATCTTTTAACACATACTTACAGAATTGTGTTTTGACTGGATGCAATAATTCTACTAACCATTTAGCAAGTTTATGCGTTGGGGATTTGCACATTGACAATATAGGACGTAGAGGATTATTGGGTTTATGTATTTTCGGCAAACCATACATATGCGGGAATCTACATTCCGATGGTTTTAAAGAGTCAAATGTATCTTTACTTATAGCATTTAGGCCATGAAGCTTCACTAGATTAGCTGTCACTGTGCCCTGCAACAACTGAATATCTTCTGAGGAGGGATCACAGTAAAATTTGCATTTATCATCAAGAATAGACATCATTTTAGATTTGTAGTCACTTTTATTCATAATGACGACTCCAGAACCTTTATCAGGTTTCGTAATAATTATATTAGAATTTTCCCATAGCTCTTTCAAGGCTTTGTTTGATATGGTGGGAATTTAAAATACTTTTCTCTTTTGGGTTGTTGTTTAAAAACTGGTGAGCTATATCTACCATCTTGGCTTTAAACCAACCCCGATCTTCATCGGATGTTGCAGCAAGAAGTTTGAGTTGGTCATACAAATTTTCAAACTCAGCATGGATGGCTACGTCCGTAAATTACGTGCGAGGAACACAAAATTTAATTCCAAGGGATAAAGCTTCTTTCTGATTAGTAGATAGAGTAATATCAGAAAGATTTGTAACATATTTATCAGGATTCCCCGGAAAAAGATCTAGGCGATTTCGATCACCGATTGAACTCTTCAACTTATTTTGTATATTTGCCTGTGTTTTCTCGCATCAATAATATGCCACATGAAAATCCTTCAGTTTTGTGAAGATCTTACTCAGAAAACACAGGCAAATATACCAAAAATAAGTTGAAGAGTTCAATCGGTGATCGAAATCGCCTAGATCTTTTTCCGGGGAATCCTGATAAATATGTTACAAATCTTTCTGATATTACTCTATCTACTAATCAGAAAGAAGCTTTATCCCTTGGAATTAAATTTTGTGTTCCTCGCACGTAATTTACGGACGTAGCCATCCATGCTGAGTTTGAAAATTTGTATGACCAACTCAAACTTCTTGCTGCAACATCCGATGAAGATCGGGGTTGGTTTAAAGCCAAGATGGTAGATATAGCTCACCAGTTTTTAAACAACAACCCAAAAGAGAAAAGTATTTTAAATTCCCACCATATCAAACAAAGCCTTGAAAGAGCTATGGGAAAATTCTAATATAATTATTACGAAACCTGATAAAGGTTCTGGAGTCGTCATTATGAATAAAAGTGACTACAAATCTAAAATGATGTCTATTCTTGATGATAAATGCAAATTTTACTGTGATCCCTCCTCAGAAGATATTCAGTTGTTGCAGGGCACAGTGACAGCTAATCTAGTGAAGCTTCATGGCCTAAATGCTATAAGTAAAGATACATTTGACTCTTTAAAACCATCGGAATGTAGATTCCCGCATATGTATGGTTTGCCGAAAATACATAAACCCAATAATCCTCTACGTCCTATATTGTCAATGTGCAAATCCCCAACGCATAAACTTGCTAAATGGTTAGTAGAATTATTGCATCCAGTCAAAACACAATTTTGTAAGTATGTGTTAAAAGATACATTTGAATTGCTTAATTTTCTTGACGATATTAATATTATGAATAAGAATATGTACTCTTTTGATGTAAACTCGTTATTCACTAATGTGCCTTTGCTCAAAACAGTTGACATTTTGCGTGATTACATTTCCACAAACAATGTTTTCCTCCCGTTTCCTATATTTTATTTAAGGGATTTATTACTTTTATGTACTAGTAATGTTAGGTTTACATTTGAAGGCGATTATTTCCGTCAGGTTGATGGTGTCGCTATGGGAAGTCCTTTAGTGTCCCTTTTAGTAGATATCTATATGTCGTACATTGAGAGTTTATCGGAGGATTGAGTCGAAAATGTGCCACTTTATAGAAGGTATGTAGATGATATTGTAACCATAAGTGATAAGCCTTGTTTTGCCACCTCAATTTTAAATCGAATGAATGAAGTTCAGAATAGCATATTACTTACGTCCATAGAAGAGGAAGATAATTGTTTATCTTTCCTAGACATATTGCTTAGTCTTAATTACCACAGTTTCTGCCCTGTTCGGTACAAAAGAGCCTTAGTAAGGTGCCTCTTCAGTAGAATCCAACGAATATGCACTGAAGACACACTTGATGAAGAAGAAAGAAAGTTGACACAAACTCTGGTTGATAACAATTATCCAGACAAGTTGATCGGGAGATATAAAGTAGTCAGAACACCAAGACCCACTCTCCAACTCGCCCCTAAGAAACACGCGTACATCAAGCTACCCTATATCGGGTATCATAGCAGCTTGATAACTAGACAAAGATTGAACACTGCTGTTAGAAAGACTTTTTATGAAGCTAATATCATAGTAATAGAGAATGTGAAGCCAATATATCCATCTAAGCCCTTCGAACATGTGAAAAAATTATGTCACATCCCACCGTATTTACCAATTTGAATGTACGTGTGGACACACATACATAGGGAGGACTAATCGATCTCTGCAAGTAGGGGCTTCAGAGCATATTCCTAAGTGGCTCCAGAAGCAAATAGAATACTCAGAACCCATTAATGGTGAGAACAGACGACCTAGCTGGTCTGTTGCGAAACATATTGCACAGACAGGACATAAAATTGACGTTAACACACCTTTTAAACCTATCTATAAAACGTGTTTGGCGCGTATCCTTAAGTTTGTGGAAGCGCTAGTTAGCAGTTAGGAAGTTTAAACCACCTTTATGCGTTCAAAAACAATTCGTCATCACACTACACCTACCTTCTTTGGTAAACTTTGTTTCGATACCAGTCAGGGCAGATGTACTATTACCTCTGTTATTTGGTTTAGTCATTCATCTTCATTGTTATTTTGACCTTCAATATGTCCTTTTAACTTGACCTAAATCTATTTTCTCAATTCTTAACTCTTTATTAATTTCACATATATATTCCCATGACAAGTCCGTGTGTGATCAGATTCCTCTGAAGTTTTGTGCATTTTTCGATTCACAATTTATATTTGTTGAGCACTTTGGAGAGGATCGGACAATTCGCTAAAAATAGAGAAACTAATAGTACTGATATTTCAAATAAAACTAGGATGAAGTTAAACAAAAAGGGTGATATTTGCAATCCTGAAAATTGCTAATAGTTGTTATCGCCGTTGACGATAATCTTTCATTAATTATTGCACAAGCTGTGACAATAATGATGCGTTTGTTCGTCGATTTCCTTATGCGCAAAATATGACTCTATATGTTTTGGTTGGACACTAGTTAGTGACTAGTGTAATATGTCTAGTCCTTTGTTTGTTGCAGAATGAATTCTGTCAGTCAGGTTTGCAATGTGGCCACTATGCCAACAGGTGGCTCATCGTGTAACGGTACCCTTTGAACTGTTGGTATTAGATGGTTGGAGGAGATCAGCAGGAAGCCTTCGACCTAGGTTCCATACTAGTTGGCACTCCCTGACAAGGCGTATCTGGGACTTTGAAAGAAGTGATGTCCCCTCTTAAATTTGGACCTAAATCACACAGTGGTGTAGTCAGAGACGTTACCACTGAGGTATCCGGGTTCACGACTGACCTATAGGACACGAGTTCGAACCTCAGAGGGAAAATGAGTTCCTTCAATTTTGGGGAGTGCTTACTAGCACGAAACCTAGGTCTAAGGCTTCGAACTGATCACCTTCAACTATCTGATATCACTATATGCTTTTAATCATTGGAAAGGAAATGCCAAAGTCTAGTGTTTCGTAAGTCCAATGATAATGAATCTTTAAATTTTAAGTCTCTTATTGTCACTATAGCTCCCCCTTGATTGTTAGAAGAAATCTATTTCATTAAAAATTGGAATCACCGACAATGAAGACCAGTTCCGAGATAATAACCTGGTTTTTTTATATCCTAGGTAGTAGTATCTCAATCAAGCCGACGAATACTGAGAGCTCTATGGAGGAAGAAGAGAATTACCTAAACCAGTGTAACAGAACTAGATTAACACCGTAAACCGGCTGGACGATGAAACTGAAGTAGGTATCAGCCAAAAGTGTAGTACGCATTAGAATTCTATCCATTGTTAGTACTAACAAATAATTGAAATATTATTCATAAATCTAAAATCAGGAAATCACAGAGAGAAAAACCTCTCAAGCTAGTCAATGCATAGGACATATTCTACAAATTTCTGAAATCATAATGAGCACTTCAATTTATGAAACAATCATACATATTATCAACTCCAGCTTAACTAGTACCACTTAACCTTTAAGTGTACTTCTATATTGAGTCAAACATAAATTTCAGATATAAGAATAAAACTTGGGCACTGTGGTAGAATGTAATTCCATTATGGGTAAATTTTTCTTTTGATTGAGTCTCACAGTGTTATACAGTAATATATATATATATATATATATATATATATATATAATATCAGTAAATATTACTGTATAACACTGTGAGACTATCAAAAGAAAAATTTACCCATAATGGAATAAATTTCAGACACCACTGTAGTTAGGTGCGCTTCAAAAAGGATGGAATCTGAGTAAAAACGGTCTGTAGGAACAAACCAGTTTATCTGATAATAACAAACCTGTCGATAAAACCGTCGTTGAAGTATATGACGTCCATTGTCTAGTAGCTCTGTTACTCCAGCGCCATAAATTTCAAGACTGGCTGTATATATTACAAGTTCATACCACTGACTGATCTGAAAATTACGATATAACACGAAGAATAAATCAGTTCCCTTCAACAATCCAGAGATTAAAACTACATAGTTACATTGTTTAAACAGAGATAAATTCACCGAGACAATGACAAACGAACCTCAACATGTGGTAATCCTTGAAACGATTATGACCAATAAACTGTCTGAAATATCATTCACTTAATAGCACTGTGTGTTATGTCAAATAAGCATATCTAATATTGAAGTAAAACCATACTGCAGTGCCCCAATCCAACGTTAATAATCTTTTGAATACCACTTCAGTGAGAATAGTCTAATAATTCATTTACTTTGACTATAATCTCACTAATCAAAGTGTTTTCTAAGCCTTTACCTACTAGACAACTTCTGCTTGAAATGATTGCACAGACTCAAATGCATAACGCCCAGACGGTGTTTGCTGTGCATGCTTCTTGTATCGTCACAATATATATATATATATATATATAGAGAGAGAGAGAGAGAGATGACACGCCATAGGTTTGTGTACAAGGCCGTGAGCAGTACTCGGCGTGCAAGAACTTATAACATCACCTAGTTATTCATGCTTAAGTGGAATGCAACTTGAAATCAGGGTGTGTTTCTATAAGTATTATTAGGTGTTTATTGCCATCGATCACTTATCTTGACACCCAAATGTTTCCTTTGTGTTATATGAAGATTACTTACCTCTATCAACATCTCACTATTCCCTACTAAGATCACAATGAACTGTATTTTATATGCAGAAATAAAGTGTCAGTGGGAATTTTCATCTCCCATACTCGGACACTACTATGAACAGAAGGAACGCCACTAAGAATGTTGGTCATGAAATTTTTCAGGTGAAAACATCTGGATCAAAAAAAGCAGTTATGCTAAACACCTTATGCGTTTTCCTGTGTAAAACATAACCCTACTGACTTACCACATTTAGGAAGAAATCAACATGCGGTCTTTTGTGAACAGAAAAACGGACGGGATGATGATCAATGAAAACTTTAAGTACAAAATCTGGAGGCGTTCCTGGTCTAACTGCTGGTCGTAGGATTCCGTCATGTACCGAGTGGATTAGTGTTTCATCTAAATCCAATACCATTACTTTTCGTCTTAAAGTACCTGAAGGGGAAAGAAATTAAATACCATAGACAGCATCAAGAATCACTTTGTTTTGAAAATGAAAAAATTACCAATAGTTTCGCATACTTCAAACTTATTCAGGACCTAGCAATTAAAATCAACGTATGTACTCGCAATCTAAATTAGATGATATTGTGCTCGCAGGCACTCTACTCGATCTCACGCAGCCATGTAAGAGCTTATAGAAAGTTATCTTCTGAAGAGACGACAACCAGTGGTGTCTATCGGGAAAGCCTATTTTCCCCATTTTAGTTTAATTTTATCATAGATATACTAGCGGAATTAACTCTAGAGGACTTTAGTAACTTAGGGATTGACTTGTTGCCAGAGTGCAGTCTTCTTGACTTAAAGTATGAAGATGACACTGTGCTCCTAGATGCACAGGCTGATAAAAACCAGTCTTCTGAACACCTTGAGCAGAAATCTTGATACATTTTAGGATGCAATTCGCCCTTGTCAAATGTAAGATGATGTTGCAGGACTGGTTTGCACAGACTACCAGCTTAGATATAGGGAGTGAAGTGGTAAAGCGTGTTGACCACTTCACTAATTTGGGGAGTTGCTAACAAAATCACAGCATGGATACAAAAGGCTCGTTCGGGTCTCGCCGACATACATCATCTTTGGCGTAGATGTGATATCCATTTAGTGATCAAAAGACATGTATACTGAACAGTAGTTTACTTCGTTCTCGTTTATGGCTGTGATACGTGGTCACCGAAAATGGAAGCTACGAAAATGCTAGCTGCCTTTGACCACAGACATTCGCATTCTCTCTTCCGTGTTAAGCGATATAATATAGTGAGTGATATAGACGCTGGATGTAGAGTACTAGGTAAGGGAGTTCAATCGATGAGGTTGAAGTTAGATCGACTGAGATACGTGCCGCGCATTCCGAGAAATCATCTTCCTCCACAAACAGTGTTAGCCAACTTTAGATTAGGTTAGAAAAGGGTTGAAGGTGATCAGTCCAAAACCTAGCATCAGTTCAGTAAATCTTTGACAGCCGACTTGAGCCAGTCACGCAGGGAGTTGTAAACCGCCAATGGATGGAGACTACTAGTGATATGAATCAAAATCGTTCTCAATGGCGTAGATGCATTTACTCTTTATAATCTCCCAGACCCATCAAACCCTCATCTTTTTCCACCTTTCCCTCACACATTTCTGCTTATTGTAACCCTTATGAATATTTGCCTTGTTTCTTTCTCTACATTTGAGCTTTATATGATATTGTAAATTGAACTGCTGAACTTATGTGCAAAGTACCCTACTAAAACTTAGTCAGACACTGTGCACAAAATTTAGGTGTCCACAGTGGCCAAAGACAATTTTATATTCATTGATGAGAAACAATTAGCCATCAAATTACCTTTACCCTAGTCTTGATTGATTATGAATTGTGTGCAGATGATTTTGGTCCGTATTATTCTGAGTTTTATTTTTATATATATATATATATAAAAGATATTATCTCACTAGACGATGGGAGCCAAAAACATCTGACAGCCTTTTGATCACATTTCCCTTTGATTTTGGGACAAAGAGAATAACACTCAAAAATTGAGTGAGGGAGGTGTTATCCATCTACATTATTGTTTACTATTTGGTTTAACAATTGATTATCATTCAGTCAATCTAATCAATTAATTATAACAGACTGCATTACTTTTTTTTTACTAATTTACAATTTTGTTTACACGAGTCACGTGAAGAAAATCACACGATACTACCTTTCTTAAAACACCTATATCAATAAGTACATTGACCTTAACACGCAAGTCGAACGATGAGTGAAAAACATGTTTTATTCTCCAAACAGATAATTTCCTAAAACCTATCGCGACTTAGTCCGAAGCAAATAAATACTCAAACAGTGTTTTTACCAACAAGTTTAGTGGTTTAAACTACTAGTTGCATCTTTCATATAAGAAATAATGGACCAAAAATCCTGACTGTACTTCGGCATCAAGATTTTTGATAGTTATTTACCGGGTTTTTGATGAAAATACTGAAACGTGAATTTTTAAGTCACTGTTTTTCTCAAGTCCATGTGAACCTTATACCAGTCTGTCTGAGCCAGTTACAATGACGGCCAGTAAAAACTTGGAGCCATCTGATGAGCAGAGGAATTTCCAAGTACTACGGTGACAAGAAAACCGGTCTAAAAAAATTAAAATTGATTCTGTGTAAACAGAGGTGGAATTTCAGTCAGTAAAATGATCAGGCTGCTTGAAGTACTCAGGGCTAAATGTTCCACCATTTCAGGGAGTCACTATGCCTTTTACGAAAGGCTACAGAATGGTTATGACAACCATCAGGACAGTAGTCTGTTACCAGCTGCATCACAAATCTGGGTTTCTGTTCTAATTGGTGTCTTGCAAAACGCAGGGAAACTAGGTTTCATTGAAGTCATGGGTAGATTAGGGGGTTACCTCCCACTGGTTTTCCAGACACTACCAGATGGAAACAGATGTGAAGGATGTATGCTAGTGGCCAACACCCGCTACTTAATGAAAGACTGCTTGTGCTCATGACAACACGGTGTGCAACATAAAATCGCACTCAACTAACTGACAGTCATTGTCTGCAATATGATAAGTTCTTTTTACTGCCAGAATACATTTGCAAACTTGCGGGATTTCGACCATACTTTCACTCTGAAATGTAAGGCGTATGAGGTCGAAAAGTCCGTCTAGATAAGTGTGACTCCTAGAAGTGCGGTGCATTTCCTAAACTACAGTGGCATACGACAAGCTTACACTTTTTGATCTGAAGACATCCGGTGACTTCCTAAGTGCGACTATTACTGTCTTCACGACGTTACTCGGGTCTGGTCGTTATAGTTTGTAAATAATTCTTATATCACTCACCTCAATCGAAAGTCATCTGTGAGCGGTGTTGTGTAGGTTTGTAGCTATCAGCGGTGACTGGCAGCTGGAATGTTTCGTGTATGTCAAACTACAGCTTAACATACAAAACTACGTTTGCGATTCTAGTACATAAGGCCTAATTTACGTATAGACTTCTAAAATATCAAATTTTACGGCAAGTGAAACCTCCGTCACTAAAAGTGCTTTGAAACTGAACTCCTTGTATGATTAACAATATCAGTTGTTAACCCACCAACAAGTAATGAGTGGCTACACTGAAAAACCATGATAACTTACGACCGATAATAGCAAAAACTACAAACATTGAGCCACGATATGATTATGAGCAGCAAGCTGCTCATAAAGCACTATCTAGTTAATCACACTGTATTACTGCATCCCATAAATTTATTTATCTGGACAGTCCGCGAACATGAATGTTACAGAAAATAAATTTGTATGAGGCAGTCAGACATAAAAGTCTTTTAATGTGATATACGAAATCACACTGCTGTGCGGCTTGTCTACTTAGCACATCAAGAACATGTCAAGGAGATATTGATCAGCGCTTAAGTTACTACACACACAAACCAGAGGAGTCTGTTATGGACTCAATAGCATGGTCCGTAAATTTCAGATTACAACACTGAATATCAGACGCATATTTCGGAAGTTAAAAGTAAGCCTCGGTGGTGAAAACTGCATACAAAAATCCAGGTTTCATGTTAGTTGACTCGAGGACAATACCACCTATATTATGGAAAAAGATTATCAGTGTTCGAATTAAGGATATTCCGAGTCCAACATGTGAATCTGAATACATGTAGCAAAGTAAATAATTGCTCAGGGGTAGCTGTTTACTTTAATCACCAAATGTTCCGGAAAATAACAGAACAATGATGCCAGCGAAAATTAGTGGTGTATCAACGTAGGGTCAGTACTATGCAAGGATTTCATCACAAAATCAGACACTGGGAAAAACTGACCATGCAATAATGCAGATTACACAATTTGTATGGTCAGTCTCGGTCAAAAATATAAGAAACCAAGTTTGCAAACCTCAGGCAATTGGTATTAATCGGCCGTCCTAGTCAGTCAATCTATATACACCATAAGACGATATCAAGAAACCAGATAGGCGATTGCCTCACGTGGTGTCCAGAATCCTTACATACTAGTCTAGGCTGTCACACTTAATATGATGCGGAAACAGATGTAAACAAATAAGAGAATGCAGCTTCAATAAGACATCAGGGTGCAATAGGAATACCGTGCTCTTCCTGTGACACTATTGAGAAACGGCTTTGAAATGGAACGAATACTAAATTTTCTCTGAACCGAAAACTTTTTCGTACAACTACAGATCTTCACGTGTGAGGGGAGAGATACCTTAAGTGATCTCTGACAAGCATTTGATCAAACAAGAACCGAGTTAGCATATCCATGAGCTTGACGGGCAGATGGGACTCTATACAGCAATTAGCCGCGAACACAAACCTAAATATTGCGACAGACAGTTAACTCAGGGTGAACACCCGGACCACGTTGAATATTAGTTAGATACCCGGCAGTTGGTGAGATTAGCCGTATAAAAACACTGAGAGTTGCGGTTCAGCTTACCTGCAACATATTAAATTTACGTGAAAATGATGCACAAAATGGCTGGTAAACTCACATAAGCGGTACTTTGACAGAGGAGAGAGAGGAACAATATCATATTTTACACTCTGGTATTTCAATGCCTGCAAGTAGGTCAGTGAGTGTAAACGAGAGACCATACTGTCTTTAAGTGCCTTTTGAATAGTAAACAGATCATGCTCCACAAGCTAGCGATTAAGAGCTTGAAATATCCATTGTAAAAAATAGTTGACGTCCTCATGTCTATGCATGAATAAAATTCGAAAACCCCCCACCACTAAATAAAGTTTCAAACAAATCCCCAGTTCATTTTGACCTACGATATCAAGGAAAATGGCAAACTGATCAAACATAATAAAACGGCTGTGATTAGTATTTGTTTCAATTATAATTTTACGGATTTACATCGCTCAGCAACTCATAGAGTATCCGCAGGACTCCAAGTGTCTGGGACTATGCAGTCCTGTTAGTCATCTGCTTAATGGTGGTTTACACTAAAACTCGGGAAGTGAGTTTTTTATTATCCAAAGCTTTCAAGATGGGTAAATTTGTATACACGTCATCGCTAAAAACATTACTAGTGTTACTTATCAAGTTATTGGGGTGCAAGATCCAACCGTTGGGCAGTAACTGTTGCTCCATCAATACTTGTAAGTTCACGTCCACAATCCCGAACCAAACAGGTTCGCTAAAGAGGAATGGGCATTGACAACAGATGGCGAATATCAGAAAAATAATCTTCAGTCTCCATGTTAGGCACCAAACAGCCGTCGCGGAAAGAGAAACGTTTAAAAATTTGCGACTACTAGCTATCGATTGGCCCGGTGTAACATCAAAAAGTCCCTTTTATTGCTAAAACCACTTCGAAATGTTTCCTTTCTATTTTACTCCTATAATTTATTCATTCTCTTAACTGACCTGAGCACATTCTGTTAGATTTTTACCGTGCGGATATACACCTGGTAGCATGCATGTGCATGTTACTACCATGCAGAATAAACACCACTTTGTCCTTCACTTAGCAAAAATACAACTCTCCTTATGTCACTTAAAAATCATACATTTTTGCCGATAAAACTGTACTTTCAATTTGCGTTTGATGCTCCTGTCGTTCATTGGTTCCTATGGCAAATTATTAAAGACTTAGTCAGCCATTTTTAGTTTTTCGTGGGTTTGCAAAGACACTTACTATCTTCACGATTCCTTATTGATATCACTCATGAAATTTATTTCCTTCTCTGACATGGCGATAAAATTTTGATGCCACAATGCACAGCTAATGTGAGACCAAAACGATAACGTGCGCGTGCCTTTAACACTCTCAAGATTTGCTGTGGGTCTACTACAAATATATGATTCGACTTCTAGTACTATATTTAGAACCCAAACTGTTGATATCGGAATTATAAATAGGTCTTGTTCTGTTTCAGGCATTCTGAATATGCTTGTTTCCATCCAGAACGTACCATAAGCGTACTATATGTTAACGAGCTGACTATAGCTTTGCACTACCGGAAGTCATTACACTAAGAAAATCAGAAGTTATGATGTCTTTGGCAAATAAAACAGTTAAGCGCCTATTGTAGTACTACTACTGGCAACACCACTAATCTTTAGTTGGTGCTGTAAACTTTCATTACTTGGCCAGCTGCTACAAGTAGGATGTTGGATTGACATACCATCTTATCAGTCAAGGAAATATCCATGCATGCCTCCAAGCCCGTCTTTTTTAATTCAGGACTGATGAATATATGAATAAATGCAAGACATGTGTTTGGCATTATCCACCTCGAAATGTCGACTTCTCAAAATTGTCAGAGTATACAAGGACTAAGGAATCGTGGGTATGCAGTGAACCTTGAATGCCTGAACCCTTGCTTTGACGCATTCATGTACTGTGGTGCCAGAGTTACTCCCCGCAAGTGTCCCACTCCCTCGCTGTGCTATCATTAAGCCCACAAATGCTTTTCACTGCCCTCTGCATAACAACCTGAATTCCACTTAACAGCTCCCGTGGCGCTTACAACTAACCAGTTAAACTGGCTATCTGTGTGATTTCACTGGTGATTACCAGTTTCAACAAAACAAATACATATGCAGTTTGCTTTATGACCACCGGAAACAAGTAACTCCAATATCGGCCTGACTCACATTGGTTGAAGAAGAGCTCAAAATGGACACTTTTCCGATCACCATAAGATCAATTTTCTCCATAAGTGCATTGTATGATACAGCAAAACACTGAGTTTTGAACCTGTTCCTGGAGGTTATAGTCATCTTCATTTTGTGATTTAGATGAAGGTTCTATTCAGCCTCATCCATTTTAGGTGCTGAATACTCACTTTGAATTTGATGCCTTGAGATTACACACATAAACACATACAATATAATTACTAATGCATTACAGTAGCACAAAGATTTCTATAAAATTGCAGTAAATTGTAGAGTCACTGTTCCTATTTAATCCTTGGAAGACTAACAACCTTATCGTGGTATATGCCATTAAAGAGTGATAAACGATCCAATATACGTGTATGACCCGTGACTTAGGCCTTAAAAATGACGATTAATAGTTTCAGTACTGGCTTAGCATTCTTAACGTGCTAAAAATGAGACTGTCTTCGGATAATCTTTGCCTCTGATCTTCTTTATTTTATTCTCTTGGGGATGAATGATGTCGACATTTACGTGATATACGCTGTACACGAACGCAAAGGATTATTCTGTACCACCGCAAGTACTTGTGTTATTGAAACTAGGGAAAAATAAGATCACTGAATAGATCACCCAAAATATTTCGAAATTAGAAATGTAGCGCAATGACGATTTCTTAGCTAGCTACAGTTCTTGCACCAACAACCGAAAGTAAAACGGCAGCGTATCAAAGGGGTGGACGGCTGACCGCATACCTTTAGCTCAAAAAGTCGACTTAAACAGTGAAGGTCGGCATCTAGTGTCAAGTGAAGAGTGATGTAGATCAATAATTTTGAGGAATTATTTATCGGTATGACGGATTCACAACAGGCTGCGAATATTGTCCTGTTCTCGAGATCTTTCCCCTCAGAGATGCTCATTTTGGTAGAAGCATTCACCATGCTACTCTACACCCATGCAGATCGCAAGACATTAATCACAACTATGCCTGATGTTTCCTTACGTGTGATGCAGTACTCTATCGCATACACTCATTTCACTGTTAGTGAAGACAGATTTTGTTTTGACATCACCGACTTGAATAACCCCATCACCAAAATATGTTAGGAGGGAACGTTGCTAATCTTCGTTGTTTGTAGAACGTGTTTGCAGACAAGATGCTATGGTCAGTTGATCAACTGGAAGCATTCCCCAGAGCAAGGAGACACATAAAAGTCAGACTTAACCACGACAACTGCGGCAATAAATTTTATTGCACTAAATACAGGGTATACATGTCGTCTACAAATCCACTGGAATTTAAAACACACTTAAAAAACAAGTACTTAAATGGATGCTTGACCTTGGAGAACCAATGCAAATAACTAAATCAAAAGCTGTCCAGTCAGGGTGGCATTTCAACGAATGCATCAATCGTTAGTCCACGGGTAACAACGATAGATGGTCTATCTTAGCAGGCTCACACGTAAACATTTTCGAATGTGGAAACGCAATTTGAAGTGAATGGCTGTCGATATATTTTCATACACGTACTGTTCTTAGTTATAAGTAGTAGTTATTCAGTTGCAAGATGAGTTACTAATTTTCTTCACAGTGGCAAAACCAATGCTCTCAAAAACGACCTGCTAGCATCAATCGATCATTCTTTAATGGTGTAGAAAACAGGTGTTTAGAGAAGCTCTGATAGATTCTTGCTAGGTGCCATGGAAATTGCTGTATCTGCGAAAGCACTGGGTATGATAATCGTTGGAGATCAGAAGGAAAATCATCCCTTATTAGCTATTTACACCTAAGCAACCATCTACAATAACGGGATGTACGAATCCATCTTCAATAGACAGCAGTATTTTGTTTGGTTCAGTTATTAGTGAGCGGTCAACCAGGAACAACTCTTCCATCAGTTTCTTCTGTAGCGGTAACAACTGAAAGCAAATGGCAAAACTCTAGTTGTCTAGTGGGGGAGTGCTGCTGACTGATGGCAGTGAGTGCATTATGAACCATCAGTGGTCCTACCTCCCAGAAGAGAGCTCAGAGAATGGTATGGTGTACAGAGCTTTACAAGAACAAAGGGACAACCTGGAATAAGTAAAGATTCTACATCACACTGCCAAGTGAAGTCAGTCTGTGTTTAATAGATGCAAGTGCAGACACTTTTTCTATGGTTGTCTTCCCTATAATTATAAAGTCCCAGCACTCAAACTTCGTCTTCACTTTTTTTCTTTTCGCGCACTTAATTTTGGTATGCGTCGTTTCATTTCCTAAGGAACAATATCTCTTTTAGCACTGCACTCCTGGACAGCTCAGTTTCCGCTACAGGGAATCTGGCGGACCGTTCTACCGAACACTTATGACTAGTTTCATAAGATACTGGCAAAGAAAAGGCGAGAGGTTCAGGGGGATACCAGAGTAAGCAAAGTAATTGACATACTATCTAGAACACAATCACTCTGGAGGTAATCACGATGTATGCAGAGATGTCCTTTAGCTGAATGACCACATTTCTAGAGAAATGTAGTGCCACCAACAAAGCACACTTTTGGGTTCCAATTAATGCCTTGCCTCTAGAGAGTTGGAAAAGCAGATCAGGAGTAGACTCTTGTCGCAAAAATTACACAGCATTCTTCGCTTGTGGCATGACTCATTGTTTTATGGCCATTATGAAAGTTCCTGGTGGGAAACGTGATCTTCCTAGCCCGGTGAATTAAATTCAACCATTACTTACATATCAGTTCTCTGTGTGGTAAGTCTAGCTGTCTCGAACTGCTGTCAAAGCTTTAGGTGCCACTTCTGTAGCAGCACCTTCCTCACTCGCTCAAATAAACAAAACTTGTTGGTCTACCACGTGATTGCTGTGAAGCCGATCAACCAGAAATTACTAGGTAAAGTCGAAAACCTTTTCTTTTCCTAATCTTGTAATTTATCAGCCTTATTCTTGTTCTATTGGGTAGATACTGTTGCTCTCATAATATTATATAGCATAAGTTATATTGATTGTTAATGTAGCTGTTGAAAGTAACCTTAGAAAAAGCACTGAAATGCCATATTCTGTAGTCACAAGGGCTTCAGCCAGAGGAAGCAATGACCCAAGGACATCAACCCCGTCTCGAATAACGATCCTAAGGACTCGTGTAGATCTCACCTGTCCTGATAC